ACCCCTGCACCTCTGACCTGTACCCCAACTCTGTCCAGCCGCCAGCCACATCTGCTGTGGCATGAGGAGCCGAGGGCTGTCCGCGCAGGTATACATGGACTTCGGAAATGATGATGAAAATGTGGAGGCATGAACAGTCCTTTGGTAACAGGCCATGGAGGGGCATGTCTGCTGGAGGCACCAAAGGCTCAGGCACTCACATTGCGAGTCCGGAGATGGCTGGCTGGGGGCTTTTTATTTATTTATTTACTTATTTATTTTTGCAATCAGTGGTTTCTAGGCTTAAGAAGAAAGTTAACAGGAAAGAAGGAAATGGTTTACATTCCTTTCTACTCCACCCCAGGGGCTTCTGGGTGTCAGTGTTTAGAGCAGAGATTGTCCCCCTGACAGCCCCCCCCCCACAAAATTTAATTAGCAAAGTGACACATAACAAATCAGTATCTCTGGACACATGTTCACTGTTGCTAATTGAAATAAACCATAAACTTTCCCAAATTCAAGGCCAACAATGAAGCCTGAACCACTAAAGTCTCACTTATTGCTACTGTTAAGTACAGATTTACCCTTTCACAGTTAAAAGTACAAAAGTACAGGTTCATAAAAGGTAGAAGCAACTTACCTCGCTCTAGAACCTTCTGCACTTTAATGTGATTAGCACAGAACCCGCTGTATAGTTTAAAGTGGTCTGCGTAATACAGGAAGGAGCCTCCGAGCGAAAAGAGCAGTTTCTGGAAGGAAGAGAGAAGTCACTCAGCTGTGACTGAATCACTGCGGCCGGCGCCTTTTGGCTGATTCGGTGACCCGGCTGCAACCGCCTGTGAGGTGCCGGAGCAGTGCGGCCCGGAGAGCCCAGGGCTGCCTCAGCCACAGGAGGCCAGAGCAGCCCAGGTCGCCGCCAGCAGGTCTCCGCTTGACTGCAACGTTGCTGGCAGCAGAGCCGGCTGCCACAGTGGACCCCTCAGGGAGAAGCAGGAGTTCTGTGGAAACGCGTGAGACGTGGCAGGATCGAAGCCGTGGCCCGCTGAGGAGCCGCGCCTGTGCGCCTCCCGAGGTGTGAACGAGGCGCTCGTGCCCTGCCCTCGCTGCTGCCTCCGCCGCTCGGTCAGCCGCTCACACTGACAGGGCCCCACAGACAGGCAGGCCCTGGGACCGGTGCCGCCACGTGCCTCTGTGGCTTCCATGCAGCTGCCCGCTGACCCCTGGGGACAGCCGAGCACAGGGCGCTGGTCTGGCCGGCAGACCCCAGAGGCCCTGCTGCCCGGACTCCTCGAGGGAAGGGGAAGGCACCAAGTTAATCGCTGCAGTCGTTGAGGGGCGGTAAGCTCGTTCTGAGGGAGAATTTTACTGTCTGTCCACCTGTTTTTGCTTTAAGTCTAAGATACTTACTCGAAACTGCGAGGGGGTTTCAAGTACGTTAAAGTCAGACGATGCTGCGATCCCATCCTCGAGAGTCTGCAAAAACACCTTCTGAAATTCGAGCATCTCTGGCAAACTTCCGAAGAGTGACTCCATCTGCATGAGGACCAGGATTTGGAGGAAGGATTAGCCACGGAGACCCAGGTCCCTCCCCCCTCGCATAGTGCACAGGTTGCCCGTCCAGGGGTGTCATCTACACACAGATGGCCCCTGCAATTCTAAAATGACTTTTTAAATATGTGCAATGTTTTCAGAACATCAGGAGGAATAGAATTGAGCAGGAAAGCAGTAAGTCCTGTGATTTAACATTAAACAAATGCTTCAAAAAATGCGCCTTCTTTGCAGGCACGGCCGCCGCACGCGGGTCAGGTCTCGCCTGGCCCCAGCCATGGGGAGCCTCGGAGGAGCGGCCTGGCAGACTGGGTATACATTATATATATTCTCTGGGGGACAACAGACAGAATCTCGGCAGGCCCCTGTGAGGGAGGCCGTGGAGCCAGAGCCCGTGGACAGGGAAGTTGGTCACTCACCTCGTCCTGAGTCAGAAAGGTCTCACTCTGAAGTGGCCCCAAATACAGCTCAAAGAGGCAGCTCAGGTCCTGAAAGGCAGGAGGAGGGTCCTTAACGCACAAGTCCCCAAATGCCACGTGTCCCCACTGCCCTGGCAGCAGCCCCAAAGACCCCATTAGGGTGATGTTTTCTGTGGTGGAATTTCTTGACTTTCCCCTAGGCCGAGGCTAATGCCAGCTCCACGTTTTCCTGTGGCGCTTGAGGGTTGGCCCTGCTCAGACTTGTGTCCGTAGATCCACATTCCTCCTCTCCAGGGGTGGCCACCTCCCTACAGGCCTGGCGCCTGTCAGGTGTGACCACAACTGGCTGGCCTGCATCAGGGGCAGGGCGGCAGCCCCAGCCTGGAGCTGGAGGGGGAGGACAGGTTCTGGGGTGCTCTAAAGTTTGGGGGTTGCAGCACTAGTAAATGTTCAAGCCCCCATATTCAAGTACAAGAAAAATCCCCAAGGATTAGCATCTGTGACACTGGCCAGTGAGGCCGGTCAAGGGCCCAGGCATACAGGCAGTCATAGTCGGCTGCTTTTACAAACGCTTTGGGTGCAAAGAGTTGTAGGTTTTTGGTTTTTCAGTGTAAAAATTTGAAGCCATGGTTGAGACGCAGTTTACTGACAGGAAAACTTCTTTTTCTTCATTTGTACTATAGAACTTTGGAGCCCAGAATACTAGCCTGAGCCCAGAGTCAGCCACTTTGCCTCCTCCATCTTCCAGTGGAAGAGGCTAGACCTGGAGCCTGTTGTCAAGCCCAGAGTCTCCAGAACCTTACAGTGGGCGTTTGACCGTGTGGACAGACCTGAGCTGAGCCACGCCACCTCCCTGAGCCCTTCCTCCCCCCACCCTCATCCACAGTGGCTGCCTCAGGGCAGGCGGGTGTGAGAAGTGACCAGGCAAACACAGATGTTGAAAATTCCAGGTGCATGCAGGGATCCAGGTTAAAGAACAGTAAGTAAAACTGCATGTTAAATGTCAACCAAAAAGTTAAAAAATAAAAGCGGTGTGTGTGCCCACAGCAGGCGGGGGTGTGGCTATTCTGTCAGCGCCACTCTCACTTCCTCGCCAGGGCTGGTCCGTGCAGGGCCGAGGATGCCCGGCAGCTGCAGCACCAGGGGTGCTGAAGAGACAGATGTGGATGCTCGGCTGCGTCACAGTGCACCCAGCAGGGCTCACCCTCCCACTGGGGGGCGGGGACCAAAAGGGATGTGCATTCTGCCCTCCCTTCAACCCGGGCTCCCGGGAAGGAGCCCAGACCATGCTCGGGGTCCGGAGGGCTCTGGGCCTGGGGAAGGCCACGACTGCCCCGGGATGGCCCGGAAAACGTGTCTGAACTCAGCGTGTCTATGTCTCCCCGCACCAAGGCAGGGCGAGACGCGAGGGGAGCTAAACCCGCTGGTGGCAGTGACGAGCTAGAACATCTGTCTCCACAGTGAAAGTTACCTTGGTGACAAAATGAGCCAGGGACCTAATGTGCTCCCAGGCCCACTCCCAACCCCTGCCGGCCCTCCCAGGGGCAGGTGTGTCCCTGCGGTGGCCACGCCAGGGCTCAGTCTGGGACCCAGAAGGCCCGCGTCTGCCGTCACCTTCACGTAGGACTTCTCCGTGTCCACCAGCTCCTGGATGACCTTCCGGAGGCGGTCTGCGTCCGAGAGGTGGCGGGCCAGCGGCCGCGGCAGCTCCCGAATCTCCCTGGGGGCCTCCATGCCGTGGGCCTGGGCGTCGTCGAAACTCCTGCACAGCGCCGCCAGCTGCTCTGCGCTCTGGGGACAAGAGGGGGGAGCTGATGCCAGGAAGGCCCACTGTCCACACACAGCCCCAGCTTTGCCGGGCAGCCCGGGGCCTCACGGGGGCCCCCAGGGGAGGACACGCGCTCACACTCGTCCAGCAACAGGCACTTCCTCACCGTCACGACGGCGCCGGAGGGTGACCGCACCAGCAGTGACACTGCAGATGAGGCGTGGGCCACCCCTGCAATGAAGTTTTGAGTTTTCCCTGATTGCACAAAGCAAGGCAGCCCCGTGTGGCCTGCTCTGCCCCCTCCACACCTGGCCCAACAGCTCCATCTCCCACAGGAAACAGCCCCGGCAGGTGGTGACACAGGCGGGAACGACTGTGGGCTGCCGTGGCCACGTGGACGAGCAGTCTGCCCTTGCGTCCTGCCACGGGGCTCTGAAGCCTTGTGCCCAGCAGCAGGGCAGTGAGTGAGTAGTAAGCACTCCCGGTGCAGAAAGGGGGCAGCTACAGACACGAGGAAAGGGGGTCAGGAGAGGGGCTGCAAGGGGTCCTGAAGGGGCGACACAACAGGAGCCCAAATAGGGGACGTGACCCCGCCAGGCCCAGAGCCCAACTGCAGGGGTGGAACTGGGACCCCCCGAGACGCCCAGACACTGGGCTCGCTAAATGCAACTTTCTTGTCACCCCAGCACAGGAGGGGACCACCCCTGTAGCAGATTCGAAGCCTCAACTAGATGCACAGAACCAGAACATAATCGCTTCTAGAGTGGTTCGGGGCATGCGGGCTGGGGCTCTCCCCGGCTCTACATGGCCCACTGGGTTTGCCCCAAGGCGCGTTTCCTCTGTTACCTATCAGAGGCTGTTCATTCTGGGCGAACTTTTAAAGACTGAACCAGTGGCCCTTCCAATTTCCCTGGGTTTTGGAACCTCAAAAATAAAACCACTGTGGTCTCTCCCTGGTGGTGCAACGGGTTAAAGCTCGGCACGACTTCACCTTTGCCTTCCAGTGGCACCGAATGCAGCCCGAGGGATCTCACGGTCTCACCCTGGGATTCAAGCAACTAAACCTACTGATTCATAAGAAACTGACACCGGTGAGTTGTGCCTGGGAAGCCTAACGACACACAGCAAAAGCCAACCGGAGCGGCACGGTCAGTCAGGGCTGCTCTTCTGGGGTGAAAGTCTCACGAAGGCCCCGTACAAGAACCTGCAGCCCGCCTTCCCCCGGACTTCAGCCTGTCTGCATCGACTCTGTTTGGGAAGCTTGTAAAAACACTCAATCCTGGACCACTGAACAGAAGCTCCAGGGCCCGGTTCTGGGTAATTCTGAAGAGTTTCTGCAGACATGATGTGGGTGGGAGAGACTGGTCAACCCAGCGTAGAGCAGACACCCACTTCCATTTCCCAGGAGAGGTGCCACCTTCTGGCAGGTCCCCAGAGCTGCACGGAGGAACGCTGTGAGTGGAAGCAGCTCTCAATCGCACCATGGGCCGGGCCCTGGGGCTGGCCCTCTACTGGCAGAAGTAAACAGCCCGAAATGCCTCAGAACTCTTATTTGAATTCTCTATACTGACATTTGTTTCACATGCTCACACAACATAACTCCGCAATCCTAAAAAACAACAGTCTCCAAGGTGTAGACGCTTCGGCTCGTCTCTACTGCATAAAATAAGATCTGACAAAATGCACCATAAGTTAAATGGCAGCTGGTGAGATTACAGCTTTGCCTTGCTGGGATGTCAGAAATCACACCTAACAATGCAGTGTTAAAATAAGGAGATTTTAAAAATAAAATATCTTGCCATTTCAGAAAACCAGAATTCGTTTTTAAGAAACTGCGGGTGCGATTCTCTTGGAAAAGTGACTGTTGGCTGAGATTTCATGACACGTTTGCGCTCCTGAGGTGCCACATTGCCACGACCAGCTGCCACCAAGCCTTGCCCACACTCGCAGCTCAGCTCTGGCCTAGGGAAGGTCACAGGGTTTACTTGGGTTAGAACGAGGCAGCACCTTTACAGGAGGAAACTAAATGTGTTTCCACAGTGTGTCTGCAAAAGCCACGAGCCTCAGCCCCTCCATTCGTCGCAGGGCTTAGGAACACTGAGCCCGTCGCAAACGGCTCCCGGGTGCACGGCCAGTGCTTTCTGGGAACAATGACTGGACAGGGTGTTTTCCCGTGGGGCTGTGGTCAGAGGCATCAAGCAGACTCGGAGGACAGGACCTTCCTGCCTTGTGCTGGGCCTCCATGCAGCCCTGGACAGGGCGCATTTCTGAGTCTTCAGTTTCCTTATTAGTGAGGGAAACAACTGTTAATGCCATCAGGTTCCCCCCCAAACTGCCACTTGGGTCAGGGAGAACTGGGGCGCCCATGGATGGAGCACCTGGGTGCCAGGCAGTCCCGGGGGAAAGTCAGGTCCTCTCACAGGACCTGTGGCATGGAGTCTGCCCGTCACCTGCTGAGACACCACAGGTGAGGTCAGGAGGCTTCAGCAGGACCTGGTGACACAACCCCAAGGACCTGGCAGAGCAGGCTGGCTCCTCCAGGTGCCACACCCACCTCTGGGCAGGGTGGCCACGGGCCAGGGGTGCCCTGCACAGCCACCACCTCTGAGGTCAGCTCTGCTTAGAGGGATCGTCACCCCAGACATTTGCAGACCAGTGACCTCCAGCAGATAGACAAGACACCGCCCACCGCATCCCAGAATCTCTACCCTGAAGCCACAGACCCCTACCCTGAAGCCCTATGCCTGCAGGTCATGGGGTCCCAGCGCCCAACCGTTGGAGCAAACTACAGGCCACTGGAAGGCGAAGGTGAAGTCGTGCTGAGCTTTAACCCGTTGCACCACCAGGGAGAGACCACAGTGGTTTTATTTTTGAGGTTCCAAAACCCAGGGAAATTGGAAGGGCGTTTTCCAGTTGGCAAAAGTCGGTGATCAGAGCCTGGAGTTCATTGTGGGAACAGTGAACAAAAGTATTTTCTCTCTAAGTTCCCCCCTGAAACTGCTGTGTTGTGGGGAAGCTGTGATTCTGACCCCCAAGTTTTGTAACCTACTGGTAAGGCTGCTGCCTATTTTAAAGTGACCTGATCCTGCTTGTAGATGAAGCGCTTCACACTCAGAACCTCTGGGCTGAATGGCTCGTGCATGGTGACACCCATGAAAAAGGTCATGGGGGGGCCCTCCCTGGTGGCGCAGAGGGTGAAAGCACAGCACTGAGAATCTAAAGCCGCTTCCGCATGAGTTCGATTCCCCCCTGCCCCGGAGGTGACCACATGGTGCGGCAGACCTCTCCTGACCCGCCTGCTGCTCCCCTCAGCAGTGGACTTCGTCGATCTGCCTGTTCTGCTCCCCACTCTGTCTCTGGTGAAGCCTCTCACCGCCCCTGAGCCTCTGGCCTGTACCCCAGTTCTGTATGTACAAATAAATGAATCTTTAAAAAAAAAGAAAAAAGGTCATGGGCGGGTGCAAAGAGCCCGACTCGGCCATCTCGGCGTGAAGGCAGCACGTGGTGACCTGACACACGGCGGCTCAGCCAGCTAGACCGCAACACGGTGGGTCGGGGAGACACCACAGAGATTACCACTTTTGGCTTTATCTGTACGAGGCGGGTGAGGCCCCCTGCCGCCCGGCTGACCGCACACTGCTGGGCAGCGCAGCTGGGCGCAGCGCTGTTCCCCTCAGCACAGCACTGATTGCTTTGCGCCTATCTGAGACCTCACTATCTGGCACCTTCCAATTTCCCTCGGTTTTGGAACCTCAAAAATAAAACCACTGTGGTCTCTCCCTGGTAGTGCAACGGGTTAAAGCTCGGCACTATGAAGTTAGCCACAGCCAGGTCACCACGAGTTCGATCCCCGGCCAGGCCAGGGACCCACATGGCGCAGCAGACCTGTCCTGTCTCCCCGCTGCTCCCCTCAGCTGTACATTTAGTCCATTTGTCTGTTCTGTTCCCCACTCTGGTGAATCCTCTCACCCCTCACACCTCTGGCCTGTAGCCCAGTTCTGTAAGCATAAATAATTTTTTTATTTAAATCACTGTGGAGCACATATACCCCTTTACCAGAAGCTTCTCAGGTGATTTCTGGGATTTCACAACTGCTGAGATGAGAGGCCCATCTGGGCCCCACGCCTCCTAGAAGCTGGTTCAGGGACTTCTGATTCTTGCAAACGCTTCTGTCAAAGGCATCTGTTCATACTATGGTGTTAAAAAAAAAAACCCTGCCAGACTAAGAATCGAATCAAAAGTGCTGAAAACCCAGGGGTATTTCATCGGGAAACCACTAAAGGTAGTGAAGCATTGGCAGGGGCACCTGTGAGCCCCTGCTTTAGAGGAAAAGGGGTTAACTTGGGGCGACTAGGAGGTCGGCAGCAGACAGAGACAAGCACAAGCCCAAAAGGAAGGGACCCTCGTGCATCTGTTCAGCATGGGCAATGGGACCTTCTGCTAATCTTAAAAAGAACATTAAAAAAAAAAACAAAAACCCTAAGGATCAAGCCCTGGGCCAGTGGCCAGCGGCCCACAGGGACAGTGCAATCGGCAGCGGTGGGCAGCCTCGTCGTGGCTCCAAACCGGCACGTGTCTGGAAGCCAGGAGGAACCTGCACCACTGAACAACCCCAGAGTGACGCTGGTGGCAGCTGTCACACCCTGCAGATGAGATGTCAGGAAAGCGCCCTTACACAAGGAAGAAAGAGCATCTAAAAACTGTACAAAGGACTTTTTCTCAACTCACTCTGCACTTCATTAAAATCGCTAACTGACAGGAAGATCTAACAAAGCCCCAAATGTTCCTGGCAGAGGGAGCCCTAAAGGTTAAATGGCTCCCCAGGACGGTTAAGGGCAGAGACCGAGGCTTCAAGGCACGTGGAGTGGAGTGCCCGCCCGGAAAGCCAGTTCATCCTGCCTGCCCAGCCTCAGACACCCGCACCATCTCTGCCAGGTCGCAAGTGCACACTAAACCCCGCCAGTGCCCGGAGCTGATCCACGGGGCTTGCAGACAGCAGAGCGCGTGGCCCCAACTCCGCCCC